AGATACTTTGGGGTGTATGACTAACGCTTCAACAAACCTAAGTACAGTTCCTCTACAATGTTGTATGCGTTTCTTAGAATTAGATTCCTTTATGTTATGTTCAACCTTTTCTGATTTTCAGTTTTCCTATAAAATGCTTAACTGAGTAAATGTGTGATTGTTAAGATTTTTCCAAATATATGGCATAAATACCCTACACATTTTTCACATGAACTGTGTCTTTTAATTACTCTATCCAAACTACTACTACTACTGCTACTACTACTACTACTACTACTACTACTACTACTACTACTACTACTACTACTGCTACTGGTTCTGCTACTTCCAATACTGCTATTACCACTACTAATTTTGATCAGAAGAGGAGACCACCTGTCTTGTTTTCTCATGATGGTTTTGTGTCAAAACAGAGGTCTTCACATACAGAGCAGGAGTCCACCTGTACTTTTATTTTTATCTCGTCATTCATGAGGTTTATCAAATAATACACACCTATATAACAATGCTATTGTGGATAAAAACATTGAACAAGTTATTCACCTATGAAATTATGTTTATAAAACACATAAGGGTGATAAAGTCATTAGGATAATTTACTCATTATTTATTCAATAAAGAATATGCATTGTCGTGTTTGTTTTGTGTACAAAAGAAGATAGGCTCAGAGAGTGCCTTCACTGTAAATCAACATAAACCTGATAACCATTGTAAACTAAACAGTTATCTTTGATAAATGTGACAATTTCCAACCTACATAACAGGTATACTGGTATCTTTTTTAGTATATCCAGAAAAATTCTAAATGAAAACGCAAATGAAGTTATTTTACTTAGAGTATAGTATATAATGATACAGTATTACCTACTGGATGATTGTGCTTCCAGTACAACTTATTGCTTATAATCATACAAATATAATGTGACATGATTTTAAATAACATATTGTACATAAAATGTAGTGTAGCCAAAAAATACTGTATACTTATATTCTGTACTGAATAAAATAATCGAATATGAGTGTTCTTTAAACCACAGTGCTTAATTGCTCGCGTGAAATGATAATAATTATTATTATTTGTCCCTTGGGTTCCAGCTGGAACATACGGCTTCACTAGCACATCACCATTACACTCTTTTCGCTGCAATCTTTTGAAAATGGCGCAACACGACTGCCCACAACCTCTCATTTCTTCCTAACACAATCTCCTCCATGTAACCGTCAACTAGGACACCCAACTCGCCGTTTCCCATCTAGGTTCCACTTGAGTGCCTAGCCTGGCACGTGATGTCCCCCGATGCTCTTCTCAGTGCACTCTCAATCCATCTCCACTTCCTTCTCTACATTCGTTGAGCGACAGCTTCTTGGTTACTTCGTTGCCGGAGTGACTTCCTTGTTCCTTATTCTTATTATTCTGGCCATCTGAGCTTCGGCAATGAGTCAGAGTAGGCAGCAACTGTTGATGAATATCTATAGTTTGTTGGATGTGCTCTTCATAACGCACCAAGTTTTCCAGCTATCACATAGAAGCACTGACCGGACTGTCGTTGGTGTTGAAAATCCATATCTTGTTCACACATTATGCTGAGTGCAGAACATCTTCACACTGGTTTCAGGTTAATGAAGGAAGGCCTGTCTTACTGTCTTTCCGATCCTGACTGGATTTGACATCCTCGTCTGCACCAACACCATCTGTAGTTCAAACGATGCTGCCTAACTAGGTAGGTAGATGAAAGAGACTACTTCCTTCAAGTTTCTCCGTTCATGGTGATTGCAGCTTGTTGTTGTTGGTTGGGTATCTTCATCGCTTCCACCTCTGTCTTCTCTACACTCACTTGAAGCCCCGTCTTCGCTGCCCTACCTTGCCTCTTCTGTCAACTTGTTAGTTTTCACCTGTACATCTTCGAGTTTGTTCGACAAGACATCAGACACAAATCACCATCGTTGGCGAAATCCAAATCTTCTAGGCTCTTTTCATCAGTCAAACCAGCTTACGCCCATCTTCTCGCTCCTCACGGTTCGTCGCATGCTCCAGTTGACCACAATCAGGAAGATCATGGATGATATTAGGCAGCAGCCTTGTCCTGCTCCGCTCTTCTCTTCAAAGGCGTCACTGAGTTCAGCTTTCCATTGTGGATCACTTGGTGTGGGGTGTTTTCATATAGTTGTTGAATAAAGTTGATAAAGATTTGTGGTACTCCGTAGTGTTGAAGCAGCTTCCAGATTACTTATCGGTTTATGTTGTCAAAGGCCCATTCAGAGTTGATGAAGTTGAGGTGATGTAGAGCTGAGTTGATTGCCATTCTATGCTCTGTTCTATGATGATGCGTATGGCGTCATTGCAATTTGATCCGCACATGATTTGTTCTTGCTGAATCCAGTCTGTTCCAGTCGTAGTTTTGAATTGATTATACTAGAGATACACTTGTGTGTGACTTCCGCAATTTCCAAACTTCAATACAAAATACATACGAACAAAGAAAAGGAGTGGTGATAGGGTCTCTACTATCCCCCGATCGTAGCAGACGCATTTATGGACAGTTGAGAACGAATGGCATCAGGAATATTTTAACCCAGCTGAAAAGTATGGTAGTGAAATGTAGACGACACATTCACCGTGTTGAAATTAAAATATATTCAAAGTTTTTTCCCACATATTGACTCCATAGTAGGTACAATCCAATTTACTTATGAATTAGGAAAGGAAGAAGAACTACCACTTTCGTTGGATTTTAAAATCAAGAGGAAAGAAGATAGAAGCTTAGACACAAGTGTTTATGGGAAAGCAGCACATTCCAATAGATACTTGGATTTCACATCATCTCACCCTATATCTGTCTGAGTAATTGGGCTAGAAGCTTGAATGACAGTTATTACTCAGTGTATCATTTAGTCTGCAAAGAAATGTGACCTAAGTCTTGTCAAGAACTGGAGAGGAATCATGCAAAATATTAGGCCGCATCATTCTGGAGAAGCTAGAAAATGCTTTGCATTACAACCCGAAACGGCTGGCTACCTTCAGGAAGAACAAACCATGTGCTCATCAGATTACAACGCTACTCTACGCATCATCATAGAATAGAGCATACAATCACAGTCAACTCAACTAAACCTAAACTTCATTGACTTTGAAAACGCCTTCGATCGAGGAGTCCACCGACAAGTAATTTGGCAGGCGGCTGTCTCAACACTACGGTGTTAGTGCCACAAACCTTCATCAGCAGCTAATTCGATAGCTATATGCTATATGATGCTGCATACCGAGTGATCCACAATGGAAAGCTTAATGATGCCTCTGAAGTGAAGAGATGAGGAAGTAAGACAAGGTTGCCGCCTACTATCACTGATCATCTTCCTGACTGTGGACTGGTCGACTGGACTGGACTGGATCATGCAAGAAAGTGTGAGTAGCTGTGAGAAGATGGGCATACGCTGACTGACAGATGAAAAGACCCTAGAAGAAGAACTGGATTTCGTCAACGATGATGATTTATGTCTAATGTCTTATTTCCCACAAAATCAAAGATCTGCAGGCAAAAACCAACAAGTTGACAGAAGAGTCAGGGCAGGGCAGTGAAGACGAGACTTCCTTCAGATGAACGTACAGAAGACAGAGGTAGAGGTGATGAAGATACCCAACCGAAAACAACATCAAGAACAACAAGTACTAATCACCATCAACAGGAGAAATCTAATGAAGTTGTCTCTGTCACCTACCTACCTAGGCAGGCAGCATCGTCTCAACTACAGGCAGCGGTACAGGCAAAGATGACAATGTCAAAGCCAGGATTGGAAAGACAGTAAAAAAGGCTTTTATTAACCTGAAGTCAGTATGAAGATCCACTGCACTACACAGACTTCAGCATGAAGCGTGAACAAAATCCGAATTTTCAGCACCAACCCCAAGTCAGTGCTTATATAAGATGGTTGGGAGACTTGGCGCGTCACGAAAAGCATTTCGAACAAACTGTAGACATACATCATCAACAGCTGCCGCCTATGCTCACTCAATACTGAAGATGGAGATCAGATGGCCAGAATAATAAGAAAGAGCAACGAGGAACTCTGGGAACAAACCAACCAACTAAGAACCCATCACCTAACAAGTATGCATGAGAAGAAAGTGGAGATGGATTGGATTGGTCATACACTGAGAAGACTGTCTGGAGACATCACATGCCAGGTCTGGCCAACGAGTGGAAAGCGTATGAGAAAGGACGAATTGGGCGTCCGAGTCGAGTGTGACATGGAGGAGATTGTGTGAGGAAGAAATGAAAGGTAATGGGCAGTGGAGGAGCCACGTTAGAAGAGAAAGGAATGGCAACGGGCTACTGAAGCACTGTGTTCCACTAGGAACCCAAAGGACAAATAATTAAGTAGTAATAAGTCACTTAGTTAATAAACAAACCACTGCCTGTTACAAGGATCAATGTGACAGTAAGAACATCAACAGGCTGTATAAAATACACCGTAATCCTCGAAGCGCGTTCCTTCCTATTTGGGACTCGTTGGTTGGATGTGCCTGGATCTTAGTGAGTTGTATTATTCCCACTGTGACTCGACCTTAAAGCATTACTCACTAGACCACTTCGGTACTGTGTTCGAGTCTCGGACGGAACAACATCACTTATTGGGTTGCAGATAAATTCAGATGACGAGTCAAAAATAGGAAGGAACTCAGGTTGTGGATTTCACTGCTAGCCACTACCAAGAAGAAAACAGCCTTATGAGTAATTGATCAGTATCGAGACATCCCCATTGGAGACTATATGCTAACAGAGGCTGAACAGTTCAGCATAGTATGGCAACAAGTAATAAACAAAAAATCCAGAGATATAAGGAAAAGTGGAATTTAATGCTATCTTTGAGAATTTTCTTTTTGATAAAGCTTTGTTTATGTAGCTCTTAATAGTAGGGTTGAAACAAATAACTCTATACATTAGAAACTATGCAAATAAAATTACTTTTAGTATATTACATAAAAAATATCTCACTCGTACATTGCTGCAGAAGATCCAGGTGAACGTGTTAACTTTTGTATAACTAGAGCTTGGTGTGAACAAAACACTTCTATGGTAGATGGAACCAGTCGACACGGTTCACCATCCATTTGCATCGGGATAACTTTGTCTGTTGTAAGTCGAATATGACGGCATTGACATATTCGATCACCATGACCACCAATCTGTAAAGTTGCCTGGATATAAATTTATATTGAAAGTATATATGTATATATAGAACACTGTATGTATCCATTTATATATATATATATATATATATATATTCAGTGGGTAATCATTTACATCAGGATATTGGGTCAATTGATTAGTTCTACAGATTTACTGAAATAACCAATTGATTTCAAGTTGGGTTTTATCACAGAACGACATTACGTGGAGGACCACTGAAAACTTAGGAGCCTTAGACAGCTGTTTCGTCCCACTGTGAGACTCCTCAGCTGTGCTTTCGCATAGTTCCACCACAGATCGAGCAAAAAACCTTCAGATCTCGTCGACAGCCGATGCTGTCAGGTTTTCAATGGTTCTCCAAATGATGTCAGACTGTGATGAGTGTTAAATTGAAATGTAAAGAATATTCAAGAATGAAGAAGTTGGATCCTCATTCTGCATCATTCATTGAGTTGATCAGAACTGTTTATTCGTGATTCATGGTCTATCGGAAGTACACACACGACATAGTCCTGTTAGGGTAAAGATTCTGATGCTGAAACTTTGAATGCACTGGTTAAAAATCTAAGTACATCTGACATATATTTAATATCTGTCATATGTAGGAAGATGGTTCAAGACTGATCTGAACCAACTTCTAGTTTAAACGTATAGAGATAATTCGTAGGATTTGCTGACAAGTACATTTACCTGATAAGTTACGTCATCCAGAAAGACCTAGTTATTGAAGAAATCTCACTTTCACTATGAAAAGACTGTCATCTACAACAATTAGTCATCTCTAGAGATGACAAGTTTTCAGTTACGTAATAAAGGCAGGGTATACGGCGCTATATTCCATTATGTTCTTTTATACAGCTGTTAGGCGTAGTGAAAAACATTTGTAGCTCAGGTGGATGGTCTTCGTTGTATTGTGTTCTCTGAGCTGGGTTGTCCAGTTGGGGAGCTTCCATAGTCTTGATAGACAACATCATCAACAATAACTTCAGTATGAAGTGAACTATCAACATCTCCCCATCAGTGATTTAGTAGCTTGCCTGATGTACTGGTTTGTGATTGGTTGTCTCCCTTGATAGTTGTGTCATTGACTGAATGCATACATTTTCCTGTTAGCTATTCCTCTGGTTCACCTCTCACCTTTCTGGTGTTTATCATTTTTCTGGTTGGTTGATAGATTACGTCTATGTCTATACATCTGTTGATTGCTGACTGACTGACTTGAATGCCAAGCTTCTAGGAATTTTCTCATATTCTTTGTGATTCTTCTCTCCATCCAAGATTTCTACATTGTCGAAATTGAATTCATGTCCATAGTTGTTATCCCCATGCATTCAAATGGGTGGTCAATTGTTGTGTCGTATAATAGCCAATTGGTGTTCATGTAGACGAGGTGAAGAAGGTGACCACTTTCTCTACTGTAGTGTTAATTACAGTTAATGAGGTTGACTTTGTAAATGATATTCGGTTTGTCATCCTCGGTTGTTGCATCCTTTGGTGTGCATAATAGTGTTTGCAAAGGATTTGTTAGTTTGTGAACCACGTCATGATGTTTCATCACTCATTTGAATGCATGGGGATAACAACTATGGACATGAATTCAATTTCGACAATGTAGAAATCTTGGATGGAGAGAAGAATCACAAAGAATATGAGAAAATTCCTAGAAGCTTGGCATTCAAGTCAGTCAGTCAGCAATCAACAGATGTATAGACATAGACGTAATCTATCAACCAACCAGAAAAATGATAAACACCAGAAAGGTGAGAGGTGAACCAGAGGAATAGCTAACAGGAAAATCTATGCAGTCAGTCAATGACACAACTATCAAGGGAGACAACCAATCAGAAACCAGTACATCAGGACAAGTTACTAAATCACTGATGAGAAGATATTCATAGCTCACTTCATACTGAAGTTATTGTTGATGATGTTGTCTATCAAGACGATGGAAGCTCCACAACTGAACAACCTAGCTTAGAGAACACAATACAACCAAGAGCAATAATGCATGGATGGTGAAAGTAGAGTATACGATTACAGATTTCTGACAACAAGCATCTTCACAGCATAACTTCTGATGTTGGGATCATCATTCAAATATCTTTGAGGTTAGCTGAAAGGCACTGGGTGAGGAAGAAAAGTCAAACTTGGTTGTGTTGCGTTCTCTTCAGTGGATGAGTTAGTCAGTAGTAACTTCAGTATAAGTTGAGCTGTGAGGATTTCACTGTAAGTGATTCAGTCGCCTGTTCAGATGGACCGGCATATGATAAGCAGTTCTATTAAACTTTTTCGTCACTAACTGTGCAAAATATTCTTTTGTTTGTTTCTTCACCTGATCATTAACTTTGTATTCGTTTGTGACTTTTGCTCATTATTTACTAAATAACTCATAATAAATCCTTACAGCTCGGTGTTGTGCTTGTCGAGCCACTCACTGCCTACCTCGGCATGCAATGTTAGGCAAAGCTAAATTAGATTGGAAAAGATTTCACAGTGGCTAGACCGCAACCTGGCACCAATCGATGAAGTCTCTTACCCTTGGTCTGGACCATGTGAGGAGATGCAGAGTGCCTGACTTGGATACGCAAGATGATAAGAATCATTGGTTGAGGATTGTTTTTGAAATGGCTGAAAAACGGTCACAATGGTGCGGAGGTATTCACTCTCTGACATATTCTAAAGCTTGAATATTTGCACTAACCCTAATTCTTTCACACTACTTTCTTCACTTTAATATCAGTATTATACTATTCATCTGTCTTTGTACACTACTGTGAAGTATGTCAATGTGAATCGATAAACACGTGTAGGAGGTTCCACGTTGATTCCGTCCATCTGATCAGTACATACTGAAATTCATGGTGATGTTGTTGTTTGAGTTATTAAATCACTGAACTTAGCGAACGCAATACAACCAAGTTTCTACATCTGAGTCATAAGTATTCTCCATCATATCAATGTAGAATCTTGCAGAGATAAGCATCATTTCAGGTATTGGAAAATCTTTAGAATATAGGAGGATTGGTAGTTAACAAAAATCCAATCATACAAACTCAGTTAAACAAAGAAATTCTAACTTCTGTTGTCTGCTTAAAGCTCTACCCTACAAAGAATTTCACCAGTCAAAGAGCAACTCACCGTGAATATTTTATATACTTTGTGATAATCATCCTTTGCTTCAGACAGCTATATAAGATACGGTCGATGAATATCCTCTTGCATTTCTAAATAATGCTCGAAAAGTTGGGTTTTATAAGTGTAAAGGAATGATTTATAATCCTTTAGTTTTTTGTAATTTGGTTGGAGGTGGCTAGCAGGATATTCCAGAACGGCCGTTCGGAGTCCTAAATGGGACTAAATGCGCGTACCGGATCTCACTACTAGCCAATACTAAGCAAACTACAATAGAATCAATAATTCCGCAATATTGAGGTGTCCACAGAAGTGCCCATCTATTAACAGAGGTCGATCAATTTGATCTACAATAACAACTGGAAATTACAAGTCCCCATAAGTAATGATAAAAACCTTCAGCTTACCAGTGTTGTGGAAGTTAGACCAATGACTTCAATATATCCATCATCAATTCTTTGAGGTTGAAATTCTGCTTCAGGATTACCCCATGGCAATGTACCAGATCCATATCTATGGAGTTTGTTTTAAAAGTAGGCAAGGATAGAGAATGTTAAAATTATGCCCAGGAAAAGTAATTGTTTGGAAAATATTATGCATAATTACTGCCTATTCTGTTACTAGATGATAAATCCTAATTCACATCACTCAAATATATTAATGGTGGATAGAATGGCAGTCAACTCAACTCTACCTCACCTCAACTTCATCGACTTTGAAAAGGTCTTCGACAGCATCGACAGAGAAGTAATTTGGCAGGCGGCTGCTTCAACACTATGGAATACCACAAACCTTTATCAATCTCATTCAACAGCAGCTATATGAAGACGCCACATGCAAAGTACTTCATAGTGGGAAGCTCAGTGATGCCTTCGAAGTGAAGACAGGAGTAAAACAAGGCTGTCTACTATCACCCATGATATTTCTGATTCTAGTGCACTGGATCATGCAACAAACTGTGAGGATCGAGAAGAGGGGGATACGTTGGACCGAGGAAAAGATCCTAGAAGACTTGGATTTTTCCAACGATGATGATTTGTGGCTAATGTCCCATAAACTTGAAGATCTACAGGTGAAAACTAGCAAGTTGACAGAAGAGGCAGGGCAGGGCAGCGAAGAAGAGACTTCCTTCAGGTGAACGTACAGAAGACACAGGTAGGGGTGATGAAGATACTTAACCAACACCACCATCAACAACAACAAGCTCCAATCACCATCAGAGGGGGAAACTTGAAAGAAGTAGTCTCTTTCAACTATCTAGGTAGCACTGTTTCAACTACAGGCGGCACAGACGAGGATATCAAAACCAGGATGGGAAAAGCAAGACAGGCTTTCATTAACCTGAAACCAGTGTGGAGATTTTCTGAGCTCAGCATAATGCGTGAACAAGATACGGATTTTCAACACTAATCCGGTCAAGTCAGTGCTTGCATGTGTTAGTTGAGTGGCTTGGCGCGTTAAGAAAAGCATTTCCAGCAAATTACAGACATTCACCAACAACTGCCTACGCTGGCTCGTTACTGAAGATCAGATGGCCAGAATAATAAGAATTAGCAGCAAGGAACTCACAATGGGAACGAACCAACCAAGAAGCTATCACTCAACAAATATGTAAAGGAAGAAAGTGGAGATGGATTGGATTTGGCATACACTGAGAAGGCCGACTAGGGACATCACGTGTCAGACCAGGCCCTCTAGTGGAACCCAGATGGGAAACGACTAGTTGGGCGTGTGAAGTGAGGGTGACACGGAGAAGATCGTGCGAGGACGAAATGAGAGCTTGTGTGCTGTCGTTGAGCCAGGTCCAAAAGACTGCAGAGAAAAAGTGTAATGGAGATGTGCTACTGAAGCTTTATGTTCCAGTAGGAACCCAAGGGATAAATAAATAAATAATAATGATAATAGTGGCTGGCAGTGGAATCCTGGATGCGTGTTTCATCTCATCTGGGACTCATCATTGGGATATACCTGACTCTCAGGGAGCTGTGTTGTTCCCACTAAAATTCGAACCTGAGACCGATCACTTCAATCATCAGATCGTTATCCCCTAGGCCATCGAGTCATGATAACCACTTAATGTTCGACAGGCATAGTTTATTTGTTGTTACTTGTATCATGCCATCATTGATTAGACCGAATTGACTGGTCCCTATTGGCATATAGCTCTAATATAAGTTATCAGTATACTTGTTACGCAGTATTACTAAGCTTGAAAATTAATACCAGCTTCAAACGTGAAAGGGATTATACTACTCGGTTATATGATGTATGTAAAACAAATGTAGTGGGATGTGTACGGTACGCATAAACCATAGAGTCAAAACAAAACAAAGGTAATGAAATAACTGAAAAGGACCTGTGTCTCACTGATCTGAGCAATTCACTTTTAACCAGCAAGCGGATCACGCGTTCAAACCCTTCTACACTCACCAAGGTTTAATTTAGACAACACAAGATGTGATTCATAGCCTGATGCATGAATAGGCATATTGTTACTGGCAGAGTTCACTTCAATTCTTCCCTCAGTGCGAATGACTGTCCTGCTAATTGTAAGACATAAATATTTAATTTTGCTTGAAGTCTATGTCAATCTTGTATTACTCGCATTTCTTTGGTGTCGTACAAATCCAGCAGAAAAGGAACCTGGTGAGATGCCCAGCATACTATGCCACAGCTATTTGCTCAAATGATGCTATAAAGGAAGAGTGCGCCAACATCCATGATTGGCCTAGTAGGGACGGCTATCCAGACAAGTTTGTGACTAAGCATATGAATGTTAAGAGGATTAAAACAAGAACGCTAATAGCTCCTGAGAAGCAAATCTTCTTGAATATGAAATTCAAGAGTGGCATTGCCAATGAGATCACACAGCGTATAAAAAGAGTCTTGGATTAAGACTTCCCAGTCGCTAAATTATGTTCCATCTACAACCGCGTGATTCTAGGTGCAATAAATAAAGACAGCGTGCCTGGTTCTGCCACTTTCATATGCACTTGTTAATTCAACTGTTCCTGTGGAGCTAGTTACATTGGGCGTACAATGAAGCAGTTCCATCATTGAATTTCGGAGCACCCCCTTTGTCATGGTTGAGCAAGGGACATATTAGAACAATAAGGAGCTCTATACTTGCACACTTAGTGGACACGGGACAGCAAATAGAAACTAGGTAAGCTTTCAGAATCATTCATCAGATCCCAATTAATTTACTACATGGGTCACACACTCGCTTAATTCACATAGCAGAAACAATTACAAACCTAACCTTTGTATTGAAAAGAAGTTTGCTAGACCACTTTCATTGCCGTGGCCGTCAACATGATGTAATTTTTACTATTATTTTGTACATTTCTTCTCCCTCTTGTTTCTATCAATATTCATTTGTTTTCTTATCATTACGTAATCTCTTGTTGTGTATGAGTGAACAGGGATCGAACTTAAGATTTTTATATTTTACAGCAAAATATGCAACCACTTAGACACTGCTTTCGAGTTCAGTGGTCTATATTTCCCTAATATTGTCATTTCGCGATACAGCGTGACTATCATCTAAGGTCTTCAGTCGGCATCTACTTCACTCCAACCTGTTGGCCTCACTTGTCGCAGATTCTCATTAGAACTTCAGGGCATGCTTCTCGAAGCATGCTACTGGTGAGCACTATACAGCAATGTATTTTAATGTGAATAAGAATTATAATTTTGAGGTAGTATTCATCATGGATCGATATTAGCTAGAGAACCACTGAAAATTCGCCAGCACTGAATAGATGTTTCGTTCTGGTTTGTGATTACTCGGCAGTACGTATCCATGAAACGGCTAAGGGATCGGACTCAGTACCTTCCGATCTCACGACGAACGTGTTAAGCATTTAGCCACTGGGTCGGAGTTCAGCAGTTCACAGTTTCCATTTTCTGTCAATTTGCGATATAGCCTGACAGTCGTCCAAGGTCTTTAGTTGGCATTTGATTTCCTTTCTACTGGATGACCCCATAGGTCGCAACTTCTAATTAGAGCTACGGGATATCCATCTCTAAGCGTGTCACCAATGGGGAGTGAAAGAGATGTCAACTAAAGTCTTTGGATGGTAGCCACACCGTACTACGAGTCTACAGAAGTAAGAAATTGTAGATCATTGAACTGCAACTCAATGATTGAATAGTTAACGGATTCGCCATGAGAACTGAATGTTCTGAGTTCGATCCCTGACGATGGGGAGTTCCATGAGAGAACGAAACAGCCACCCGGTGCTCTCGGGTTTCTAATGGTTCGCTGACCGATGCCAGCCCGTGACGAATACTGACAGGAATGTTTTTTTAACTTTTTGCTGTTATTTACTATGATTTCATCTGCTTCATCTATTTTTCGTGCTTTTTAGCACTCATCAACAAGGCATATGTGCAACTTTGACTTAACCGATGCGCTTTATGAGGTTTGCACCCACATTATTCAGTGCTTCAGGGAACGATGTTACCACCGAGTTGTTCGGGCGGCGATTGACTTCCTGTAGGACTGGATTAGATACACTAATTGATACCCATAAGACAGTGTATTTTGTGTAATCCTGAGTGCAGACTGATTTCGATCTATTATTTTACAGTATGGCCAACAAACAAGAATGCTCAGAATCTCGGTGCACTTGGATGCAGGTTGGTTGATTGGAGGTAATCGGCAGAAAGCCCTAGATCTAGGTTTCATACTTGTCGGGACTCATCAGTGAGGTATATCTCCAGTCTCAAGGGAAATGATTTCCCTTCTGAAATTTTGATTCTGTTGATTAAGAAATCCTAACTTCTACCTTCTTTCTTATTAGTCTGTTATGAGGTAATGTAGAGGGTTTCTCATATTTGCAAGGAATTATGACAAAATTAAAAGGAAGAATTCGCAGCAAGCATAACTATCTGCTGGTCAAATTGTACTTAATGGCTAAATTGATACTCACAAAGTGAAGAAAGCATTTTAACTTTTTAGATTTTTCAAATACTTACCTTGGAATGTTAAGGAATAATAGACAATGTGGTTTTAAACTACGGATAAGCGGAGTTAAATCTTCACCATCACACTGATCCATTAGAAAAGGAAAAGAAGAAAAAGATTCATTGAATTAATGATTAGTTCAATTTAAAGATTTGGAAAGATTTATTTACTGATTTCAAGTTGGCAGTGGTCACAGACTGATATTAATTGGAGAACCCTGAAAACCTGAAGTACCGAATAAATGTTTTTTCCAGTATGTGATTCTTCAGCAGTAGGCATCCACAATCTCCCCTAAAATCGAATTCTGAGACATGTTAACCATTCAGGTACTAGATCACAGTTTCTGTTTTTTTTCCATCAGTTTGCGATGTAGCGCTATCTTTGTCCAATACCCTTGTAGAGTAGCTGGCCTCACATTCAACTTGGCTTGCTGTTTCCTGGTCACTACGGCTTATTAGAACTTCAAGTAACCTCATCTCGAAGATGATGACCATTGGATTCCAAGTCAGTAACTCAACCGTAACGTGATAAGTGTGGTAACTGAATGTCGTGAGTCCAATCCTTGGCATGGTCATGGGTGCGAAACTCTTGAGGAGTCCTATACTAGGATGATATAGCTGTCTAGCACTCTCAGGTTTTCAATGGTCTTTCAGCTAATGTCATACCATGATAAATTTAAACATGAAGCAACTCATTTCATCAACGTTGACACTTTTTTTATGCTTAGAAATAATAAATAGAGTGTTTACTCAGATTTTTCTAGCCTTACAAAATTTCAACAAAGCATAGTGAATTATTCGATTAATTTAATAATTCCCATCGTAACATCAAGAACAAGATATTCAGCGAAGAGACTCTTTTCAACGAATTTATTTTCAAGCTGTACAATCGTATATATATGGTATTTAGAAAAAAATTATATCCTGTGAGGAAAACTAAACACTATTTGGTGATGACAATAATAATAGAGTGGGTGATGACATAGGCATTTATGATTATAATAACAATTGAAGTGCGAATGATAACAAATAGATTATGTAATATATGGAATGGTACATAGAGAGTATATAACTCAGAAGGGGGTGAAAAAATTGTTGAAAATGGTAAGTGAATTAAGTATTATGTAATGGCATTAGGCAAATTGGACAAGATGAAGTCAATATTTTCTAAAAGGATTAAGACAATTAAGTGAAACAACACCGGAAACTAATTAAAGTGAAGGCGATTATAATAACAATAATGGTGATAAAGGAAGGATACAAAGGTTAAATTAACAAAGTGGGAGGGGGAGCTAATGGGGTGGGAAAATGTTATGGCCATGATAAAGACAGTGACTACACTTACTTTTGTACACACAGATCAGGTCTTAGTTGATGAATAGCTAAAGCCTCCGGTGTTTTAAGGAGTTGAAAACAAAGAGAACGTGGGAGGTTTGGGCGAATTCGATAAATAATTTCAAAGTCCTCGTCTGGATTTGTTGTGTGATGGAAGTCAATCAAATGTTCTAGAATCGAACTTCTAACAGACTTTCTTTCACCTTTATAAAACCAAGCAGGATGATGTTCTCGTATACGTGTAGAAAGCATTCTCTGGCTACAGCCGATGTACCTTGCTCCACAAGAGCAGGTGAACTGGTAGATGCACATAGAGGCGGCCAAACGAGGAAGCTTGTCTTTGACGCAGATGGAGAATAGGTTGCGGCAACAATTTTTTCATTCCCTTCTGAATTATATACTCTCTATGTACCATTCCATATATTACATAATCTATTTGTTATCATTCGCACTTCAATTGTTATTATAATCATAAATGCCTATGTCATCACCCGCTCTATTATTATTGTCATCACCATATAGTGTTTAGTTTTCCTCACAGGATATAATTTTTTTCTAAATACCATATATATACGATTGTACAGCTTGAAAATAAATTCGTTGAAAAGAGTCTCTTCGCTGAATATCTTGTTCTTAATTATTCGATTGAAAAGTTTAAAATTGATAGCAACAGTTACATTTCTTGAATGTAGCGCATTAAGTAATATAATGTCACTTACAAAGACATGATAGTTTTAGTTATTAGTAATCAATATTCTCTGTGAAATAAACTTCTCTGTTGAGTTAATATGTCTTGTCAGTGTTAAATAATGAGAATCAGTAAGCTGAAGATAAATTTCCCCATTGATTTCTAACTTGATTTCACTCATGAATGACTTTTATCCATAACTTTGAAGAGATTCATGTTTTATGTTTTAGAAAATCATAACTTCATTATTATGTCAATTGCTATCCGATGACTAATTCACGTAGAAAATCTACTGCTCTAAAGGGTTGATAATTACTTCAAGAGTATATTGGTATACATAAATTAATTTAATTTAGATGAGCCAACGTTATATGATGAAAACTAACTTATACATTTTGGTTTAGCAGCAAAGCTTAAACGTAGCTGAGACTGGGTGATGATTGAAGGTGAGATGAATATCTGAACTGTGATTAGCAGTTGGACTTCGTAGGTTAGTTGGTAGATCACCGGACCGGTAACCCAGTGGTCGTTGGTTCGAATCCGGCAGCGATCCAGATTTTCATCTCATCTTTAATCATTACTCAGTACAGATACTAGTCTGTCAAACTACGGCTATCTTAGATAGTCATATTATTATCATCATGAAACAAATCCAAAGTAATTTAAAGATCCCCATAAATTATTCAGAACAAGAATAATTTGAGCGAACAACTCTTTTCAACAATTAGAAATCCATGAGAATAAGTGAAATACAATAGCCAAAATAAGGTATGATGTACAGTTTCGAATGAAATGGTGGGATTGTTATCAGTCTAGTGTGTTAGTTGCGCAATCAAATCAATATTGACAGAGCAATTACGAAATGAGAAGATAAAATCTACGGATAATGATTAAAAGCAATTCAACATAGAAACATTGATAAGTGCAGATGACAGACATCCAACGTCATCTATATCAAAATATATCATTGAAATGAATCACAGAGTTAATACTAAAACAGCCCTCAAGATATTATACAGGAATAATCACGAGCACATACTGAAGTTTGCTGAAGCGTTAGCCATTCGTAAACTTAAGCTCCCTCTGTGCATACAAAAACAATTTGTTGTTTCACTTCATTTACCTTGGTAATCATTGGTAATTTGATTATATTACCAAGACTAGTGTCACAACCTTTTCATTTTCATTATATTTGACCTTGAATTTTCATATATAAATTGACTTGACAAGTAAGTGTAGGTGATCAGATTGTTCGAAATGTATTGCGCAAATACATCACATTTTTCGGGTAATCTTCGTCTTCTAATAGCGTTATCGAAATTTATTAAAGGAACTAATTATCCACCATTACTATATAGTTAAGAACACTGGGAATATCGAGGCATCGGCACAGGAGCCCATATGCAAACAGAAACTGGTCAATTCGATCCAATCAACGACGGTATATTTCAAGCAATAATACTAAAACTATACCCGTCGCACAAGAAGTGGTTCGGTGGCGTAGTGGATAAGGCTTTCCCGTTCGAAGCGATCGCTCTCAAGTCTGAACCCCGATAGGAGCAACATCACACACTGGGAGACAGGTTCATCCAGCTGACTAGTCCCAAACAGGACGAAATGCGCATTCTGGATTCCACTGCTAGCCACTATCCATCATTACTATAAAGCGACTAATTGTTTCAGATAATGATTCATTTGCGTACATTTATTGGGGCATGGACGTATACGTATCTGTGTGTTTGTTTAATAAAGGTCAAATTATAATTATGTAGTGATGAGTTATAATGAGGTAGGATGAAAATCATATGAATACTATAAAGAAATAGACAATAACAAATGTCACGGCTGAAAATGACTGCAGGTGTGAATAAAGAATGGCGTAAAACTAGTAACATGTTCATCAAAGTAATGACAATATAGAAGAAAGGGATGGGAGGTTAAAATGTTAAATTTGTGGTAGAAAAGTTCATAAAGAAGATGTCGGCTCTGTTGTGGGCTATGGTTAACAAGTGGATGTACATATTTCATTTGAATGCATAGGTCCAGTTTTCTTGTGTTGATCCCTATGGCTTCGGCTATGGATAAAATGCGAAATCGTGCACCTTCAGGGAGATTGCAAGGGACATCGTATATCACAGAAAAGACGTGTCCTACCTTGATCTGGTATCTATTAGATGTGACAGGATTGCACTGTTGATGCTCTTTGTCCTTCCTTTCCATAACCAAGATGGCACATGTGCACTAGCGCTCATGGATAGAGCCGTTTGAGGACAGCCTATGTAACTAGCTCTACAGGAGCAATTGAACTCATAAATACACTCTGAAGTAGCCATCCATTCAATTTGATCTCCATTCACCCAAAACACTGATTGTTTCAATATAGTAAACATTGTACATGATGCCCTGTTTCGACTATTGCATTTCACTTATTCTTGTGGATTTATAACTGTAGAGACTGAAGAAAAAGTTACTGAAAGCCAAAGTAACCAAATGCGAAACATAGGAAGTCGACAGATCGAAGTGAAGCTTAAAACCTTATTTTGTTCAAATATGTGTTACTTAAGCAGAGAGAGAGAGAGAGAGAGAGATGACAAAAGTGCTTTACATAGTGAAACACTATTTATCCAAAGTAAAACTATTCACCGTTCAAAATTTAGATAAGTGGCTAGGACAGTGGCATACTCAAATGGTCACCTATACTCAAGCAATGTGAACCAAAACATTCTAAGTACAGATATAAGACATATGGAGTCGTCACAATCAACCCATAGAAGTGTTAGATATTCACATTATAACTTTATGCGATTTCTTCTCCTCAACAAACCACCTAGTGTTTAAAGTGTACGAATATGCAGCATAATGTAACTTATGTTGTGCAGTTTTGCTAAAACGACAGTTCTGATCATAAGCTAATAAAGTTGTGACAGGCAATATCTAACATTTCAGATCCAACGCAGAGACTAAAGGATACGCTGGATTCAAAACTACGACTGAAACAGGCTGGATTCAGGAAGAACAAATCATGTGCGGATCAAATTGCAATGACTCCATACGCATCATCAT